TCTGGCTTGCATTTGAATGGAATGTCTTTTTCCATACCTTTACTTTCAGACTGTGTGTGTTCTTTTCTTTTTAATTTTTTTTAAATTTACTTACTTTTAAAATACATTTGTCTCTGCCTCCCCCCCACCTCTTTCCCTTGCCCCCTCCCACCTTCCCTCCCTCAGCTCTTCCCCTTTGGTTTTGTCCATGAGTCCTTGCTATATGTTCCTTGACTTTCCCCTTCCCTTCCCTTTCCCTGCCCCCCCCTTCCCTCTTGTCTCTGTTGATTTCTTTTCCTTTCAGTGTTGCTGGTCATATTTTCCTTGCTTCTTTGCATTGTTGGTTAGGTTCCGCTTATAGGTGAGATCGTACGGTATTTGTCTTTCGCCCCCTGGCTTATTTCGCTTAGCATGATGCTCTCCAGTTCCATCCATGCTGTCGCAAAGTTTAGTACTTCTTTTTTTCTTTCTGCTGCGTAGTATTCCATTGTGTATATGTACCATCACTTTTTGATCCAATCATCTACTAATGGGCATTTAGGTTGCTTCCAACACTTGGCTATTGTAAATTGTGCTGCTATGAACATTGGGGTGCATAGGTTCTTTTGTATTGGCGTGTTGGTGTTCTCAGGGTATAGTCCCAGCAGGGGAATCGCTGGATCAAAAGGCAGTTCCATTTTCAGCTTTCTGAGGAAATTCCACACTGCTTTCCATAGTGGCTGCACCAGTCTGCATTCCCACCAACAGTGGACTAGGGTTCCCTTCTCTCCACAGCCTCGCCAGCACCTGTTGTTTGTGGATCTGTTTATGATGGCCATTCTGACCGGTGTGAGGTGGTACCTCATGGTGGTTTTGATCTGCATTTCTCTGATGGCTAGTGATGCTGAGCATCCTTTCAAATGCCTCTGGGCCCTCTCTATCTCCTCCTTAGAAAAGCATCTGCCCAGACTGTGTGTGTTCTTAAAGCTGAAGTGAGTCTGCCATAGGCAGCATATAGTTAGGTCTTTTTTTTTTTAAATCCATTCAGCCAATCTATGTCTTTTAATTTGAAAACTCAGTCCATTTACATTTAAAGTATTTTTTTATAGATATGGATTTACTATTGCTGTTTTGTTAATAGTTTTCTGGCTGTTTTGCAATTCTTTTGTTCCTTTCTTCTTCTTTTGCTCATTTCCTTTGTGATTTGATGACCTTCCGTAGTGGTATGCCTAGATTCCTTTCTCTTTACAATTTTTCTTTCTACTATAGGTTTTTACTTTGTGCTTATAAGGAGGCTTGAATAAAACATCTTATAGTTATAACAGTATATTTTAAGCTGATAACAACTTAAGTTGAATGTATTCTAAAGCTCTATGTTTTTATTCCACATTACATCGCATTTTGTGATTTTGATATCATAATTTACATCTGTTAACAAATTATTTTAGTTATAGTTGTTTTATTACTTTTGTCTTTTAACCTTCATACTACATTTTTAAGTGATTTACCCACCACCATTACAATATTAGAATATTTTGAATTTAACTAAAATTTACCTTTACTGGTGGGATTTACACTTTCATATGTTTTCCTGTTACTAAATAATGCTCTAATTACTGTATTTTGCTATGTATTATGCACATCCATGTGTTCTGTGCACATTATACACAGGACTATTACACCCATTATTATACCCATGGTATGTAATCATTATACCCATGTATAATGTGCTTCCTTATTTTTTCCTCAAAAATTTGGGCAAAAATTATGCATTATACACAGTAAAATACAGACAGGAAAAGCTTCCTTTAACATTTCTTGGAAAGTCTGTCTAGTGGTGCTGAACTCCTTAGATTTTGCCTGTCTGAAAAACTCTTTATCTCTTCTACTAAAACCAACTGCAAACACTAATATGCTGTAACAACCAGCCCTTCACAGTTGTACACATTTTGAAATCAAAACCCTATATAAAATGACAGCAATGTCCTTCCCCCTCTATACCTACCTAGTCTATTAGATAGGACAGAGGAATGTAAATGCCTCTTGGTATTATCACTAATAGTATTAGTCATATAATCTTTAATAAATCTCAATTAAAATTATTCCCTTAGTGATCTTAAAATATATGTAAGAAATTTTAAAGACTATGTTCAGAACAAGTAAGTAGACAGAGGTTCTTTTTTCAGTACTATGTATAAAAGAAAAGGAAAATACTACCAATAATTAAAAGCAATTCATTTCTCTAAAGAAAAAACGTGCTCTACAATGATACATTGTGAAGTGATTTATAGCATATTGACTGTAGTTCCTTTAATGAAAAAGTAATTGTCCAAGTTTTCCCTGGAGAATACTCTCAGTAACAACAATCCATGCTCATGGAAAGTCATGAGTTAGAAAATGAGAACCAAATGAACTTACAGCTGGGAAAAGCCAACAATAATTAATTTAACACCAGATATCTGTAGAGACATGCATACATTTCAAAATTTCTCTTGGGAGAAACAAGGTCGTTGAAGGGCACAGACCACTTATTTAACATGTTCAAAGAAGTTTTACTTAATAAGATAATATGCTCCAAAGGTTTTGCATTAAAAGATAACTTGTTTTAGGACTAGGAGGTTATTATATTTGGTCAATACCATCATTTGTATTTCAATATTGTAGCAAGTATTTATGAGAAACATTCCTAAAGTGAGTTCACATTGAACTTGGACAATCTAGTCCTCAAAAGCAGCTGAGAGACAACAGTGTCATTAAAAGGAGCTTTATTCTGATTCATTGGCTAAGAAAATGGGAACAGTTTGAGGTCTTCCATGTTGTTTCATTTTAATAAGCAGCAAGCATTTTTCATGTCCTTATTAAAGCAGTTAGTGTCTTTCTCTAGTCTCATTATCACTGCCAGAGTATACTCTCTGTTGTTTCATAACCAGGACAATTCCTTTTCATTTCAGAGAAGATCAGAAAGTCAAATCTGATTGCTCACATGTGGTTGTTAATAAAACTCCTATTGTGCTGCTTAAGGTACCCATGGGGATTGTACAGTTATTTATATTTTCTTATAGTTTTCTATAATTATTTTGATTGTACTTTCACAAAGTAAATGCATCTCCACCAATTAAAGCAGTGGTGGGTTAAGAATATTCATCAGACTATGTGAAAGGATATTGTTTTTAGGGTTTTGATCAAAGCACAGTAATTAAATTGCTGTTAACATGCATTCAACCCAAGTGTTAAATTAAAATGCTCAGCAACTTTGGAGTTTATTCAAGCAGATGTTAACTATTTTTGAAAATAAACACGACACAGGACTTGCATGCATGACATGACTCTTTGTTGTATTGAAAGTGCTAAAAAATGACTACATAATTTTGAGGGATATAGTTTATGGTATATAACCAATTTGATTACTGATAATTCAGGTCAATTCAAAATTTCAGAATCACCAACTTCCAAAAAAATCTCATTTTGGTTTATATCTTTCTACATTATTTGCTTCACCTCTTTATTTTCTTTAAAGGCTCCAGGAGTAAGAAATATCCATGAAAACAAGCATCTGAGGCTATCAACTAGAGAAAACATACTTTGTTGTATAGATATTTCATTGTACCTAGTTTGACAGTGCTTGCAGCAAAAGTGATCAGCTTTACTTCCATTCCATTAGCTGTCATTCTGATGCTAGACTTTTAGCCTGCTGTGTGTGAGATGTGACTGTCATGCACAATTCCCATCAAAGGTAATTTTCTGTGCAATGGTGTGTAAAATTTACCTCTAATTATGATAAGATCACTGATGGGTCACTTATGATATGCTCTCTGGAGACAAGAATAGCTTTCGGCAAGATTCATCTGGAGAAATCAAATTGGTTTGACCATGACTCAATAGAAAGTAAAAGTCTTTTAGAAAATGATTCCTCAATCATGTTTAAAGTCCCAAAGAAACCCAGAGAGGAGGGCAGTATGCACAGTGGTGAAGGCTATGAGTTTTGAATTTGTGCAGACTTGAGTTTTGATCCAGGATTTCTGAGCCTAGAGGACCCTACAGAAATGGCCTCTGTGCATCTCTTGGCTTCTATTCCTAACTTTTGCTACTGGGGCTCCATCACCACTGGTCTCCTTCCTGGCCCTTGAACATGCCATGGCCACTCTTATATTGGGAGTCTTTGACCACAAAGTTTCCTTTTGTTGAACTGCTCTTCCTTCAGATCACCAGGTGTTGGAACCTCCTTGTTCTTCCACTTTCCAATCAGTGGAATGTATCATATCCACTATTTGAATTATCTGAACATAGCTTTTCCCTCTCTATTTAAAGTAGCCAACCTCTGACTCAATCACTATTGTATCATCCCATTGCTGTTTTGAAGTACTAATCATAGTCTTAAATAATTTATTTACAGCTTAATGTATTATATAATTAAGTTTAATCAATGTATAATTAAGTTTGCATATGACCATAGTGGGGAAAATATCTAAGAATGGAAGGTATCTTGACTAGGATATCCCACAACCTTGAAACCCCACTGACATTAACTAGCTGAGTCACCAGCCCACCACTGCTGCTAAATTGGATTAAAAAGGAGATCCTTGTTAACAAATTAGGATGGAAGAACTTCCTGGACTTTATGTAAAACACCATGAAAACAGAACTAATTATTAGAAAAGATAACTAATTATTATTTCACTAAAATAGCATTAGAATGATTTCACATTTCACTATGATCACGGAGGGTCTCCATGAAGGGAGAATGCTAGTCACTTTAGTTAGTTATTAACATTTTTGAGTAGAGTTTTTGTAATGGTAGTAAATAAAAATGAGATTAATAAATATGTTGAAGTTTTGTATTTATTTAAATTTATTAGTATTTTTTTTAGTTCTCCTCAAGATAGCATACTTATAAACATAACAATGACTTTTCAATGGTTCATGTGCAGTAAATATTTGTCAGTGAATGACTAAGTGTTTGATGCACTGGAAGACCTTACTTGCATTCTAATCCTCAACGCAAATTGTAACAAGAAGAAGAAGAAGAAAGATGAAATCCTTACCACAGGGTCCAGTCATGGCTACAGTATGGCTGAACATTGCCAAGGTAGAATCCCAGAGACTGAGTGACCTCCACAAGATTGGTAAAGTCAAGACTAATGCTGTTGAAAAGGACAGATGTCATGATGATCTCATCAATAGCCCATACATCTTCTCCCTGGGAAGAATGGTATGGTTGCCACCATCTGAACTGAATTCCAAACTGTCTTGCATCATCTGGTAATTCTACAGAGATTATTCTAAAGGAGAAACAAGTAAAAATTAAGATTACTTTGACATCTTAAAATACAGTTATAGCAGGATTTTCTTCTGCTCTATATAGTACTTTAAAAAATTAGTTATCCCACTATTGCAAACTTTCTTCTGAGATTTCCAATTTCCTGTTTGATCCCAGCAAAGTCTTCTAAACACATCTAAAAATGTGACTTTGCTTTCACTCATCTGCTCTCAGAAAAGCTAACTCGGTAAAACACAGGTCTCAAACTGGCAGGATTCGTCTTGGTAAAGGACCCTCGGCAGCTTGTTACACAAATTAGAGTTTGGGGCTGGTTGGAAATGTGGCCCTTCCTCATTCCCATGAGTTTAGCACAGTGTGCAAGGTCACTTGCTGTGTCACGCAGCTATGACAACAAACCTTTATCTGACAAATGGGGACGAAAATTAAGAATAATATCTAATTTCCAGGAGCAATTATTGTACACAGCAGCATAAACCATACATTAATTGTCACTGCAATGACATCTGCTTGAAAGCTCCATAAATCACAGTAGCATGCTGCTCACACCCATATACAAGGTTAGATGTGAAACAAATAGCAAATGCAACATTTGTCTCCATCAGTGTGCAATTAAAGACCAGGAGAAGTGTTTGCAGTAAACTCACACTGAAGGGACTGAGTCTTTTTCTAGTGAGCAAGGAAAAAGTCTCAAGACAGTGACTAGTTGGATAACTTAGAAATAAGTTATTATTTTTTTTATTGTTGTTCAATTACAGTTGTCCCCATTTCCCCCCCATTGCTCTCCCCCACTCTACCCACCCCCACCTCTCACATTCAATCCGCCACCCTGCCTCCGCTGTCTTTGTCCATGGGTCCTTTATACGTGTTCCTTGCCTGCCATTCACCTTCTTTGCCCTGTTATCCCCCTCCCCTCTCCCCTCTGGTTACTGTCAGTTTATTTTTTATTTCCATGTCTCTGATTGTATTTTGCTTGTTTGTGTTTAGGTTCCACTTATAGGTGAGATCATAAATTATTTAAAAACTGTAATGTCTAAGGCATGATTTACTAAGAAATTAGATTGATTTTAATATTTGCATTATATTATCTTTAGTTATTGTGTAAAGAAACATTAAATCATATCTGGAAATGTAATTTTTATACACTGAAAGTTATTAAAATATCTATTTTCTTTTTAAATAATTTATACATAAAAATATGGATATAATAAGACTATCACCACTGATTATACAAACTACTAATAAGAAAGTAGTAGAACTTTGCAATGTGAGAAAATATGCCTTTTAAGTAATAAAAAATCAATATTCATATACAAAAATATAAATTAAAAAACAGTTCTCAGGCTAAAAATACATAGCTATAATATGTTTACAGTTTTTAAATACTTTTCATGTCTGCTGAATTGTTTTTCTTACCAATGTGAATTTGTTAAGAAAATAAAATTTAGTAAAGTATTTTCAGTTTTCACCTTAACTTTTCTAAATATTGATTTGTTTATTAAATCCTAAATAAGCATATCAGATATATAGAATAAAACATATTAAATATATAGAATAAAAATATTTGAATTGGCTCAACAATGAAAAAAATCATACATTCATTTAATAATTAATTTGATTAGCATTATTAAAAATTATAATTTTCCTTTATATTGATAATTAAAAGCTGTTACTATTCTGCCTGATGAAAATATAATTTTTAAAAATAACAAATGAAAAGCAGAATTTCTTGGGCAACTTTATTGGAAAATGAAGTGCATATATGTGTATGATAACAGTAATTGAAAAATACCAATATCTTCCCTGGCAGAGATACTAAGACTGTGGGTCTGTAACTAGACTCTTGGGTAAAGTCCCCACTGTGACACCTAATGGTTAGTAACTTTGCAGCCACAGGGAAGGTACTTAACATATGTGTGCTTCAGCACCTTCATCTGTGAAATTGGGATAATATCCTTATGGCAAATTCAGAGACTCTTTTTAGTCCTTTACTATTGTGTCCTAGCACCTAGAACAGTACCTGACACACAGTAAGGACTTAACAAATTCTTGCTGCATGAATGAGCTACTATTACCAGTATACCCTCTTAGAGATTTTAATATGAAGGCAGCTTTTAAGTGACAGTGCCAGGATCTGGACCTCGGCAGCAATCTTGACCTTTATGTCTTGGGGCAGAGTGGCAGTTTTCTTTCACAACTCTATGCATATTACAGTGGCTGGTTAGAATAGCTACAGAACCAATGATCAGAAAATCCCTAGATGACAACCCAAGGACTTAGGTCAACTTCTGTATCAATATTTCTTTTTAAGGTAGGTACTAAACTCATATATTTCTTGTGATCAAACACAATAATCAAAACAAAAATAAGATTAGGCTTCATAATAATTTCAGAAAATAAAAAAACCCTATAATTAAGAAAAATCTGAATAATTTTAGTTTCATCAGTGATACAAGTTTTATATTAATAAAAATACCAATTATTTCATGACATTATAATCAGTTGGAATTAAAAGATTAACTTAAATATATTCACAGACTGCAAATTTTATAAATAAGAAGACAGAGTTCTTTTATTTACTGATTGAATTATAGGCAAGCAAATTATTAGAAATTGACTAGAAGTAAATAATCACTAGCCAATTAGCATATCTAATTTATGGATCACATTTCATTTTCGAACAACCATGACAGAAAGGAAGAGTATGGAATTCATATCAATTACAGGCAGCACTTTATGCTGAAGAAAATATAGCGAATGGCTACAGGCATCAAGATATATTTAACTCTCCTATGAAGAATTTACATGGCTTATATTATTTATCATATAAAATATAATTTAGTATATCTAGGATATATCAAATCCTACTTCTGTCAATCATTTTTTATTAATAGGTTGTAAGACAGATGGGGAGGGTGGAAGAGTATCATGAGCAGAGGTACACATATAGAAAATGAAAGTGTTCTTCCCACTCCTTTAAAGAAAAAAATCTACACTCTGATCTTAATCTTTCAAGCTATGCACATACCTAATGCTGAAAAGCCACTTTGATCCTGCTTAGAAGAAAAATGTTGTTGTCAAATGGCAAGCAAGATTAAACATACCTTTCCAGCAACACATTAAATGTGTAATTATTTTTCATATCAACAAAGATTAACTAAATATGATGATATAGACTAATTACTGAATTTTGGAGCTGCCCATCCTTGTTAGAAGAAATTGTGTTTTAGGCCCAGTTAACTTAGGATGGGGGCTATTTTCTTCATGTTTTCATCATTATTATCACCACCTTGATTTTTGTTTAATTTTCTTCTAATGTTCACTACGGAGAGCTTCTGAAACATTTCTTTGGGATTTATATGTCTCTATAGAATGAGAAAGTTGAGTTTAGCCTTGCATTTACCTTTAAGGGAAAATGATACATCTGGCGTGTTCTTAAAATTTGATATGGTGTTTATAACTCATTAATAGTTATTAACTATAATGTCTGTTACATGTTACTTTCTTTTTCTGTGAAAAAGAAGTTCTCATCAATTTGTAAATACTTAAATATAGGGACAGGGCTAGGAATAACACTCAACTGAGTCCAGCTTATCAGCAGTGCGCCTGCCTGTCTGCCATGGTGCCAGTGCAAACCCTAGCACCCAAAGCCCTTCCTCCGTCTTCTTCACATCGCCCCATGATCCACATGTACTTCCAGGAAGGCAAGCGATGTTAGTTTAGTTCTTTATAACAGGCTGGGAATGTTAGCCACAATGTTACCTCCTCCAATGGTATTTGCACTTTCCCATTCTCTTTCCCTGATGTTTTAAAGGAATTTCAGTGAGCCGATCAATAATGTTCTAAAAGGGATGAGGATGCTTTGGACACTTCCAAAGTTGTACCATTATTGGTGATTACTACTCTGCTGACATGGAAGGGGAGCCTCGTTTTAGGTGAAACTTAAATTTCACAAATGTGACTATAGATTAGGAAATAAGTAAGTTAAAGAAAAATATAAGGGGCCTGAAGAAAGGACTTCAAATATATCCTCCTTTCCACCTTTGCCAGGGACTCTATACACGGTAGAAAAATTTCTTTGTGTTCATTACTTAATTACATTATGTGAAAACTTCATTGATTATCAGATTTTATGAGTTACTATCTCATATGACTTATTGTAACACATAATACTATTTTGTTAACATATATTCATTAATAGCATTTATAATTTATTGTATTAAAACCATATCTAATAGTTTGCACTACAGTTAAATAAGAAAAATAGTACTAAGTATTTTTATCTTTCCTAGGCATAAAAATATTTCCTGCCCTGGCTGGTGTGGCTCAGTGGATTGAGTGCCCGTGAACCAAAAGGTCACTGGTTTGATTCCCAGGGAGGGCACATGTCTGGGTTGCAGGCGAGGTCCCCAGTAGGGGGCATGTGAGAGGCAACCGATTGCTGTTTCTCTTCCTCTTTTTCCCTTTCTTCTCCTCTCTCTAAAAATAAATGCAATCTTTAAAAAATATTTCCTTACAAATGTACATTTCAAAATATGAGAATAAATTTCTTCAAATTATTGTAAGTCAGTAGAACAAGTGGATCAGAAGAATACAGCTTGCTAATTTTTCATTGCAAGACACATCAATCTTTGTCCTTGCCATCTTTCAATGGAAAAATATCTGGGAACTTATACTATTTGAATTTCCCCAGGAAAGAGATATCATTCTAACCATTTTCCAAATGCTTTCCAACATACCTGGGCTCATGATAGTTGAGATATGAATAGTGCTCCAAGAGTTTCCAAGTTATTCCATTATCATAAGAATAATGCAATAAAACTCCTTCTCCAGGCTGGTCAGGGGCTCTGCATGTGCTCAAAACAGACTTGCTCCCCAGCCTCAGTGTGAACTGGAGGAACCTAGACACGAATTGTCTATAATTAGTGTGTGCATAAACATTTTAATCATTACGTTCCTTTTGGTTTTTAAAGAACTTAAAACGGGTTTAAATGAACTACCCAAAATCTGTAGGTTTCTACCCATCCCTATTTTATAAAATGTAAATAATATTACTGCGAGATGTAATAGTATGTGTAGAAGTTGAGGTCAACACACCTGTTTAACATACAGATACATCCATACAAATATAACTGTATATTTACACACATTTGTATACTATGACTTGTGTATGTACACTTAAAATGCCAATCATTCCTTTACTGCATTATTTATTAGGTGCTGGGGGAAGGGAAGATGTAGGGTAAATCTAATCAGCCTCTGCAAGCTGTCAGATAAATAAAACTGCATAAATAATTAACTAGCCCTTGGCTTGAGAACACAATTTTAATGCTAACATTTCACATTTTTAAAACTCCAGTCAGTCATTAGTATCCTAAAGTCATCCATGAACTTTTTAATTTATTAAAAGTTAGGACAAATTAACGGTATATAAATTGTAAGCTCCCTCTCATCCTGCTTAAAAATGGGAATATGTATATATCAGTAAAAAAAGAAAATTAATAGACCTAAATCCAATCATTAGTATCTGGTTTCGGTGTGTATTCCATCCTGCTTTCACTCACCTGGATTGTGAGCTGTCAAGGAAGGACGTAATTAGCTGACGCCTCCCATCTTTGTTGAAAACCAGGGCCTTACCACTGGCCAAGACACCACAGCCAAAGCTGACTTCAGCACCACGGATAGAGTAAAAGTTATGATAAGAGGAGAGCCTGGAACTGCCAAAGCTTTCAGAAATAAACATTGGGAATGTCTGGGATGCCATCTCACAAGCTGGACCGGAAAATCCAGGGTCACACCTGAAAGAGATCCCATGAAATTAAATCTTAAATGGTTGGTCCTTTCAGAGTTTCCTGAATCTACTCTGGGGAGGAGGAAATCCAGAGGTGGGGATCTGACTGATTGATAAGCAAGACTTATTAGTCTTTGGAGAATTCTGAATCTGAAAACTTGATAAGGGAGAATTGATCATGAATATTCCAGAAGAATACAATCTTTGCATAGGTCTTCTATAAAAAGGTAATGATTAAAACAATTCAGCATTCACCTTCAACCAATGCCAGCAATTTATCTGCAAATAGATCTATGTTTGTGCACATTTCTGACTTAAAATCTTTGTAAAAGGTATATGATTTTATTCATAATTATGTTCATTAAATTTGTAAAAGAAACAACATAAAATACTTCTCTATAAAATATCTAAAATAAATTTCTTCCAAGAAAAAATGTAAAAATACATGTTATATTTGTGATTGGAATTATTTGAAATATTTGAAAAAGATTGGCAAATAAATTTATCCTTAACTATTTTAAACTTAGACTGGCATTTTAAAGGAAAGGCTTACACCCTTGACTTACATGGATGGCCTTAGCAGAACTGTGTTGCCTCTCAGTGGAATCCCAAATTAGTAATGCTGAAAAAAAAGAAAGAAAGAAAACCCCACACAACAACCTGCCTGCTGCTATGTAGGAAAACACACTGTATACGTGTTAGCTGACTAGAATACATATGGAACTCCTTGAGCCTCTGTCAATGAAAAAAAAACTCATCACAGAAGACTCAATAATAGGATTATCAGTATCCTTCTTATATTTAAAGAAGTTTATGCATCAGGGGATACTTTCAAGTTCCTTAATTTTATTGTACTATTTCTTTCTCACTATATTTACTCTCTCACCCATTACAAAATTAAATTAAATTGGCATCTTTTTGGATGGCATGGGAGTTCTCATCAAAGCATTCAAAATTCCCCAGAGTCTGAAACAAGCTTTGTATAAAGCAAGTGTACCAAGGAAGTGATATTCTGGCATAATTCAGAAGGCTATTCTTTACCACCAGTGTTGAAACTGGGATCTATGCTGGCCTCAAGGAGGGTCTAAGGAATGTAGGAATGTGCTGAATCAAATGCCAACTTTTATGTGTACTGGATGTTCTGAGGGAGAAAACTGATAGTAATCATCATATTATCAAAGAAGTTGGACCCTAACTTGCCAAGAATTACTGTAGAGTGAAGTTTGAGGATTGTCTTGGCACTAGAGATCAGAGTGGGAAATAAAAACAGTATTTTACAGAGCATATAAAATGAGCCTCACAATTTGCTTTTTTCACGTTATCTCATTGTCTTAGTCAGACTCTGAATAGCCAAATAGTTTCCAAAAGGACTTAAAAATTGCCTAAAGAGGACACATTTTAACATTGGGAGACTGAATATGGTGACAAATTGGAATTAGTGTGCCTGCCTCACCCGGGATTATTTATCGCCAGAGTATTTCAGGGCAAATTCATCTTTGTGTCCCTTAAATATGTCTTCACAGGGCTAGCAATTGGGAGAAATTGGTGATCATTTAGAGATGATTCACATTGGAATCAGTTTCCATTAACTGGTTTTGAAAGTGTCCTTTTAATCAAAAGTTACACAATTGGGATAGAATGTCTGGCCTCCTTGTGTTAATTTATCTGAAGTGCATTAGACAAGAGGATGGCTTGGTTATGGAAAATGAATGAAGATAACCACTTGAAGAAAACACAAGTCAATGTTTCATAGAACTAGTGAGTCAGTGTTTCTGAGTGGGAGTTGGTGGTTTTATTAAAAAGCACAGAAATGCACATTAAGTTTTGAAGTATGAATAGGATTTTTCAATTCTTTATGTACTTTATAAAACATTTCTGTTGTGCAAAGTGAGTTCTCTGTTAATTAAATTCATTGAAATATAGTTAGAAAGTTAACCTGACAGTTTAATCTCAGTGCTGCCAAGTGTCTTGCCTCATAATATATTTCACAAATGATAAGTTCCAAAGTCTTTATAAGCTCTCCATTAATGAAGTAATTGGCTAATTAATTAACTACCATTTGCCTGGAAGACAAGAAAAAACAGACAATATAATCTTTTGTTGGAAACGTAGCCATATAACAAAGACTGTCTGTGGTTTCTGGAATTTCTAGGATATTTTATATTTAAAAATGTCATGCGAATGACATAAATATGAATATCTATCCTTGGGATAAACATAAAACAATGCTCCAATGGTATCTACATATTACATTATTTATGTATAATTTCACACTAATATTCAACATTGTTATGTAAAATACTTTATATATCATTTTGAAGACCCAAATGATTTTCAAAAGTAAGCAAGACTATAAAGTTATTTTAAAGATGTATTTTCTTGTCTGATAAATTTAGCTCACTCAGTTTCCTTTGGCATTGGGCCTATGGGTCAGTACAGATTTTCATAATTCATTTACAAAGCATGCTAGGAATTAAAAATATGACTCATGAACACTAAAACTTTATGGAAAAATGACACATTAAAGGTTGTATATAAAGACAAAAACAGAAGTCATCAACCTATAATGAATTCCGTTTGTTCACAAATTTATATGCGGTATGCTTAATATGTTCACAATTTAGCTTAGTAGAAAATTATTTTATTCATCAATTTCAACTTACAAAATATACTTAATATTCTATTATACCTAATTGTCATTTGAAGTAGCCTACTTTAGGCCTCAAAAGGCCTCAAAAACCCTAAAAAGGAAATTAAAACTAAATTAAAATGTACTTTATGTGGCTTCAACACATAAAGTACATATCAAAAAAGAAAAGTGTTAGTATAATTTTAAAATGCTCACTTGCAACCATGTCGAGTGCACTGTCCTCTGCCAGAACAGAATTTGAGACACGACGGACCGATGTAAACTGCAAGGCAAAAGGCAGCATGTTAAAAATGGTATAGAAATGGGAAAAACCAAGAATACCAACAGTATATAAAAAGTTTTGTGAAGCAATGCCCATGAAATCTAGCCCATGGTGTATCTGTTGCACACTGGAGTCCAGTGTGACACATGGAGTGCCGTGGGACAAGGTAACTGCTTATTACAAATCTGTTGTTTTAACTTAATTCTTTCAAGATTTTGATGTTTCATAGCAAAAAAAGTAAAAACACGTGATTTGGGTTCCTCAATGAAATCTCTTGAGCTGAAATGATTTCAGGCAGAATATTAATGCTTTTGTCTTGAATCTTGTACATAGTTTAATTTCTTTAGGTAGAAATAAAAAATTTGCAAAGGATCAATTTGCTATATCATGAAATAGGTTTTAATTTAATTTAAAAACTATAAAAAATAAAAACTATAATTTCCTTTCTTATCTGGGAATATCTATAACATTGAAGATGATTGCTAGATATATTTCTAAATATTAATTATTCTTCCTGTAACAGGCAATTAAAAATCTGTTGTTGAGCATAACATTTTCTCTGTAATGCAGATCTTTTCCTAAGTGGTGGGCTTGATGGATAATTATATTACAAACCTAAATTCTAATCTTTGGAATGCTGAGAAAAAGGGCTCCTGATTGTCCAATGGTAGGTTCGGAGATACTCAGATTCAAATGTATTTAAGATATTAAGCCATTTGATAATTAGTACAATCAATCACCCCAAACAGTGTAAAAGTAGGACAAAACCAACGAGGAATTAGAGTTGCAATGGTTGTTAAGACATCACATATTCAATTTCAGGCATAAACAAACTTAACCATCCATGATCATTTTCTTCTCTGCCATGTAACCATGTCAAAATTAAATGATTTTATTTTAAAATAAACTTTCTTGTAGCCTGTGTTCCTAAAAGCCCTTACTCTCTGGAGCCAATTAACAGGTACAGCAATTCGAATGTGATGCAAAGCAGGCCAGGAAAAACTCTTGCTGAAGGAAACTGACGGTTGAAGAAGAGATTAATAGCAGGTTGCGTGGTTAAAGCTATCAGCTTTAGGTGTCAAAGAACCCTGGATTCAGATTCAGTTTCACTGGGAAACTTTGGATAGGTGATTTATCCTATTTAAGCTTCAGTGTCCCTATTTTTTATCCTTGGAGAAAACACGAAACGAAATGTTTCATGCTCAGTATGCTGCCTGGCACCATATGGTTATGATTATTATCTCCATCCTGGGGTCATGAATCCTTCTTGCTCCATCCGCCTGAGGGGCCCCACTGGACACAGAGTGCTGAGGAATCAGAAAGGGTCTTTATTCTTCTCTGGCCTGGAAAAATTGGTGCATTATTTTCCAAGCCAAAAAATACTTAATTTTTTGTCTGTAGTAGGATTTGCTCTTAAGTCCTGTTAAGTGGTTCACTGCATTCTGCAGGTTCACTTTTGAGGATGCCCTATAAGTATACCTATGTCACAGTTCAAGAAGCTCCCATTGTAAAAAACAAACACAAACAAACAAAACAAGAACAAAAACAAAACAAGAACAACAACAAAACAAGATTTTAGACATCAATGAAAAAATTATAATTAAGAATTGTGTTGTTATCTCTCCCTGCTGAAGATGGAATCATTAGGAATCAGTGTATGGTAAATTCACAGGCTCCTTTTTCTTAAGGGTGTGGAAAGGATAGATTCATTTTTCTCATTATTTTCATTAATGTAAACAAATTGAAAAAATTAAAAGGTGATAACTAAGATTTGCTATAGATGAGAAAATCCATTTTGCTAAGAATTTCAGGATAATTTCCAAAATACTTTCTTTACTCGCTGGCAGAAGCTAACTTGTCATGAAGAAAGAGCATACTTAACAGAAGCTGGACATTGACCTGTTTTCTCTCTGTGTTTTTCTTCACATAATTTTTGAATTTCACAGTGAAATGAGAGAGACACCTTTGGCAAGCTGGCACACACGTCTTATCTCTCGAAAGGAATGAGGGTGTGTCCTCCTCTTGCCTTATAAGGAAGCCAAAGAGCAGTTTCTGCTTTTGTGAAAGCCTTACATATAGGATAACAGAATTAAAAAGATCCTGCCCCAGATTTTGCATTTGGCAAACACTGCTCACCATGTTCATTTTATATATCTTCACCTTTTCTCATTCTACTCAAATCATGATGATGAGAAGTCAGGATTGTAGTAAACACTTTCTGACTTAGAATCATGTTGTAATAACCTTCTTTAGGAAATTCAGATATCTTTTTCATAGGCTTATACATGCTTCATTGCATTCTTAATTTCATCATATGCTTTATTATTGATTTTCCAATTGTTTTATGATGATCAAAATAATAGAAGGTCATTATAGGACCTTTGAAAAGTATGACAGCAGGCAAAAATCATCCATATCCCACTACACAGAGGCATACTTATTCCCTAGAGCTAATTAACAGGTGTAGTAATTAAAATGCTATGCAAAATGTTCTCCAATGGAAAAGCTCCATTTTAACAAGCTCATCTTTAGATGTTTTTGCAAATGCACTGTTTACGTCCATATAATTCATGTGGTTTTTGCAATCTGGAACTTTTATTGGTCTTCTTTGAGTACAGATTATTTAAAGACTTTACATTGCCTCATTAGCAAAGAATTTTGCCTGAAGTTATTTCTGAGTTTCAAGAATCTATTTAATTAATTGTATATAAATTTCTAAATTATTTTAAAATAACAAAAAGATGAAGACATGGAAGATCAGCATTAAACAATGTATAGGCTTCTTCTATTTTATAAAATCCATCACAATTCAGTGGCTATACTCAATTTGCTTAAGGATTGACATTTTGTTACTGCCTTCTTCCATCCTCTGCCTACTTTATTGTAATATAACTCTTCAATAAAATTTATATACTCTCAGAAAATAGGAAATCTCTAAATCTTCCTATACTTAGAATTATTAAAAACCAGAGAGTTCCCTATTAAAGATAAATATAAGAAATTTATGGCTACGTAACACAATACTCAAAATATCTTCTCTCATGTGCACTTATCATAAGTGACATTGGATTTAAAGTTAAACCAAAATTAACAATTAACTTAAAAATTAAAGATAACGTTTTTATGTATATATAAATTTTTATTTTATACTGTTTTCTGAAAAAAGAGGTAGAAGTTTTACTTCCTAAGTTTCATCCAGAGATGATGTTTCCTTATATGTGCTGTCTGCATCTAAAAGATAAGCATTCCAGATGTTGTAGTTACTAAGAGAAGAATGGGCCTTATTTTAATACATGCAGTATGGTAAGTATTTATGCTAATTTTGTATAAAACATCCAAAGAAAATGATAGAATATCTCTTGTCATCAATGTGAATTTGAGTTTCAGGGCTTCATGCATTTTAAAATTATGTGTGTTGAAACATTCTAGCATCTAATATTGCTGACTCCACTGCCTTATTTTTTCTGATTGTGCATCCTTGGGCTTCTAATGAAATGCAAAGGAGAAAGGGAAGAAAGGGCGTTTAATGAATCACAAGACCATGACTTAGAAATGTGATTAAGTCTGTGCTGATGAACAAAAGCACAGGAAGACTCTCCATCAATGGTATGTGATTAAGACAGGCATAAACTAACCATTATCAATTGCCCACATGTTTCCGAGGATGGGTCCTGTTTGTCTCCAGCGAATTCTGGTGTCCCGGGTTAGTGCTGCGTTAGGAAGGGGAATTGTTATTCGGTTCCACCTGCAAGAAATTTAGCACAAAACAGCTCCACAACACTGTTCAAATCTTTTGGATTTATTTTACATGCTTTTGATGTTCTAGTCTCTGTGTGCTTGGGGTAGCACTAAAGTTTGGTAATAAAGTTTTTAAATTCACTTGTGAACTTTATTTTTTTATAGTTTTAAAACAAACATGTCACTTCTAAAAACATCTATATCATGCTAGAATAGTGAGTTTGTTCTTAATAGCAAAGGATATTTATTTTGGTTTTAGACATTCTTTTGCATTAATACTCAGAGCTTAGATAGTAGTCTATGATAAGCATCTGCGCAGAGATGGGGTGACAATTAGCATTGATTACTTTTTATTTTTTTGCTATCCCATAGTCCTAGGCACATAAAACTGACTGACAGCTGCCAGAAAGGGGAGGGGAAATTGGATGAAAGATGGTGAAGGAATTAACCAAAGAGCATTTATGAACAACCCATGGGTACGGACAACAATATGGGGATTGGCCTGGGGTGGGGAGAGGGTAGGGCTGGGTGGAGATAGAGAAAGGGAGAAAGAGTGGGAACTACTATAACTGAATAATCAATGAAAATAAAACTAAAAAAAGAAAATAATTCTCAACTTAATTTTGCTATCCTTGGAAATATTTTTACTATTTATCTAGTGCTTAGTCTGTAGAATGGTATTTTACATCACCACCTCTAACTCTCTTAACTGCCCTCAAAGGGGTGCATCATTTTCCTTAATTTATGTGGAAAGAAGTAGTAAGTTAAAGAGAGTAAATATCATTATACAAGTAGATTGTAGAATCAGGACTTGGACCCAGGTTCAGTTTCAAACCTTAACTTTCTTTCACTTTTCTGTGTTGCACCATTCCATAAGTAAGTATTTTGGCAATAAGCCTTTTGGCAATAACCACAGGATCATTATACAAAATTAAAATTTTATGTAATCCAAAATATAAGAGCCAAGTACATGAAGAAAATGACCCTACAACTGATAATCTTCACTGGATATGTTGGGTTGGCAAACCAAGTCTGTTTAGCTTTTTCTGTAAAAGACATATTTTTCATTTTTACCAATAACTTTATTAATTTGGGTATTTTGAGTATGTTGGCTATCAGTTGCATGGTATAACACTGATTGTCCTTAATGTCTCAGTTTGATTGCTATCATCTTCAACTGGTCTACAGGACTGTGGAGCATTGTCCAGACAGAAATCTCCAGCACAAAACTTTGCAAACCACTTTTGACACATTTGATCAGTCACAGCAACTTCTATATATATTGCACAAATCTTTTTTTATGTTTCGGTTCTGTTTTTACATTTCTTGAAATAATAAAGCATAACACACTGAACATGTTGCATATTCTCTTCCATCTTCAATATTAAAATAGCTACACAAAAATTCACCAATTTTGATAAGGTTTTTAAAAGTGCAGACTGATATGACAGCTATCACAATACAATCTAGCACAATTGTTTTGAATGATGTTACAGACAACTAAGCACTACTAGAGCCGTCTTAAAGAAAATAACCAAACGAACTTTTTGGCCAACCCAATACCAGAATTAGTCTTTTTTTTCTTTTTTCTTTCTTTATTTCTTTTTCTTTTTCTTCTTCTTCTCCTTCTTCTCCTTCTTCTCCTTCTTCTCCTTCTTCTTCTTCCTCTTCTTTTTTTTTTTTTTTTTAACAAGATCACTTCTAAATTGCTGAAAAAGAAAGGGCAGCTTCCTTGCCTATTAAGCCAAGAATACTAGCCTCAGGCTTACTCATTGATTTTGGATCTGAAAAATGAATTAAAATCTCTTGATATCTCAGAATTTACTCACCCACTGTAGTTTTCAGAGGAGTAGATAGTGCTGTGGGGGAGATGTGGTCCAGCACAGATCTCAGGTAAACACTCAGTGTGGAGGAGGGACCAGGAACGCCCATGGTTGGTAGAAAACTCTAAGCTGACACTGATAACACAGAAACAAACACAACAAGAATGAGACAAATATAAAAAATAAAATGTAATTACTCTTTTCTTGCTAAGTACATTAAACACCGGTATAACCAGGATAAAATATTGTAGAATGCTGTTTCTGAAATGATTGTTTTCCCCTCCGCTGAAGTCTGACAAGCTCTCAAAGGGCAAGCAGTAAAATTACTGTTATAGAAACAAACCCTGTTTTAAAGACAGTAAACGGTAACTTGAGTTTGTGCTTCTGTGTTTGATAGATGGCAAGGCAATTAGCATGTCTCACACTGCCACTTCATCCTGTGACTGTGAATGACAAAGTTCTTAGAAAGGACAAGAGCAACACTTCATGTGAAACTGAGAAATCATAGCTGTTGAAGTGCTAATTGATTCCTGTTCCTATTATTAGGGGGTCACTAGCCAACATGAGTTCAAGCTTTTTTCAGTTGTTTTTTCTTTTCTCTCAGCAATGTGTGGGAATGGATGGCTGCCACGGCACGGTGCAAACACCTCTGACACCTAAGACCATCCTCTTAGAATAGGTCATTTCTACTTGAAATCTGTCCAATGTACTCTGCATGTTAACTAAAAGTGTGTACTTTATCAATGAGTAGTTTATTAAAAATCCAGCTAAAACCTACTGAGAAGTTGCTCTGATTTAACAATCAAGTCAATGTGTTCACTCCAAAATAGGGCTTCCTACCTGTTACCAGGTTGATGTGTTCCACATCCCAGATTAATTGAAAACTGTATCATGTGTGACATTGTAGAAGGGAGAACAGGCAAGACGTGGAAAAAATCTACAGCCCAGACATTCATATTATGTCCTTTATGGTTCTTTTGCTTGAGACAAAATTTGGTAGCAGGAGTCTGAAGTTCAGGGTTGATGACTGTAGAAACCAAAGATGGAACCTTCAAAACAAGGGAAAACAAAAATCACTCATTTTACTTCCTATATGAGTCTGTGTGAATTTTCCTAGATTTAGTCTTGCAATTGCAATGTACATACTGACATTTTAAGCACCAGGAAATGTCTTGTGTGTTCTATTTGTTATTTCATGCTGTCCTCAGAGAGTCACTCACTTTAGTCACTCAGAATTCCTCCTTTGCAGACACCTAGAACTCTGCATGTGTGACTGATCAGGCCCTCTCTTCCTGAAGGTAAGTTGGTGTAGGGTCTCCAGAAGTTATTAAAGCATATGTATCCATTTTATATACCTTAGCATAAGACAAAGGCAACTTGATATTTACACTTATCCTCAGTACTCTTTCAAACTGAATTTGTGTAGTACTGATAATGGTTTGACAAAGTAGGTATTCTGAAAACAGGACCCTGAGCAGTAACAGCCAGAGCCAATGAGTTAATCCATGATAACTTACATAATTGATGTGGTCTGGGTCATGCACACATAAATAGCAGGTGTAACCCTCCTGAGTCACATCTAGAAAAGTAGTCCATTATTAAGTCCCAGGTGGTGAAACTTGGGTGACTCTACCACATGATTGTTCCCTATTCTAGACTCAGTGTTTATCCCCTGTCTTCCTAACTGAAACCATGAGGGGCCAAATGCTGGCTGTGTTCAAGCTGTTTAAATTACCTAGGATACCATCAATGTGGAGAGGAGGCTAACTAATAATGAATGTGTGAGTTTAGTCTCAGCACACATAAATCTATTATTAAAAAAGAATAATTCTATACCTTATGACAAGCATCACACATAATTCTGAAGATGTCTGTAAATACCAGAGCCAACACCTGTTCTAATCCAGAGGGCAAAGGAGAAGGGTCAACTTCAGTGGCTCTAATTAGCAATGAAAAAAGCAAAGGCAATATAAATCTTTACTTCTTAATGTCTTCTTTCTAGGAAATCTCAAAATGCTGAATAAAAATTCATTATGCCTGATAGTAAGACTGTGAGGCTGAATAATTAAAGGCACTTTTAGGGCTTCCTTGGGAACAAGAGTAGCTGTCAATCTGTGTATTGGGCTCTGCCTTATTGTCTCTGATGGGCTGTAATTCATTCATACTGATTAAACCTAATTTTTCATTTGTATCAGGAAAAAGAAATATATGTTAAAATGACCATATCACTTTTAAAGAAATTTTGTAACTTCCTGGATTGCTTAAAGAGAAAGTAATTCTCTGCATCCACCTTGGTCTTAGTGATTTTGAACTTGGCCTCTGGGGTGGGGCCATTTGATGCATGAATTGGCATGTGTACCTTATATGAGGAATAGGAAAGGGTATCCAGTGTAATGTGTTCTTTTCTTCCTTCAGTCTTTGCATAGAGGATGATATCATTTTCATGAGAATCTCCAGGGTCACAAATTCCTCCTGCACAAAATAAAAATTTTAAATTGTTAGTACCAACTTGTATCCATAACCATGTCAATATAGTATTAAACCTCAGAATATAAGTATAGAACCCAGGTGTCACTTAAGAATAAACCTAAACAAAGGTAACCAGACCCAAGGAAAAAAATATGAAGAGAGTTCAGACAGGCCATGCTAAAGATCCAAGACTTGACATTTGTGAAGGCCAAAGTTAATATCTACTTGATGAGATTACTCAAATAGTATTCTGCAACAAGCTATGACCTCATGTCCATATTTGAACCATTACTTCCTTATATTTAAGGTCTACATGTCCAGAGTTCAAAAGCTATTTATTATGGTTTTAAAAAAAGTATGATAAGCCAGGTGGGGTGGGGGAAAGTTGTGATGGGAAAATGGAGACAACTGTATTTGAACAATAAAAAATATACCTATATGTAGAGAGAGAAGTAAAAAAAAGTGTAATGACTCACTGCATCAAAGAATTCTGAAGCAGTTATTTAAAGTGTTGCATGTAGTATCTTTAATATTTTAACACATATTAGGTGTTTGTGTTTTAAATGTAGTTCTTTTACATTTTTTATTTTTACTTTTGGTACCTTATTTAATTGTTGTATAACTTACCCAGAGTAGTGTATTCCTTATCACTCTACTTTACAGTAATAGGAAATGACTGAACATCAGAATTGAGAAATAATTCAGAGCATCTTGATGATAAAACTGATAATAGAGCAAGCACCTGAAACTAAAGATCATTAAGTAGTGGAAAAGCCACAATTCAATATTATGTCATTTAGCCCTTGACCCTCTAATCTTCTCATGCATTCAGCCAATAATCCTTATGGCTGGTGTCTTCTATTAACTGTCTTCATAACCCATATTTGAAAGAATTATACATCTAACTAGAAGTCTCTCCCATTGCCATTATCCTTCATTACAGTACCAACCATAATAGCAGGAGTATAGCAGGAAATACATGGATTTCCTGGCAAATATTCTATCCTGAGGGTCCAAAATGTATAACATTAACTTTTTAATTTTTTTATTGTCTTTCAAAATATTCCTCCATCTCACCATTAGTGTTAATTTTTATCTACAGGCAATTTCTATTGCTAACAATTTACGGTAACAGTAAGGCAACATCAAACTTCTAAAATAAGGTTACCATCTGAGAGTTAATCTAGTAAAATCAACCAATAATGCTTGAGATTCACCATCTGCATAAATAAATAAATAAATAAATAGTCAATTATTGTAAATGTCTGGATCAATGTCAACCTGGGTAACAGGGGTCTATCTTAGGGAGAAATCACTGATATATGATGCTAAATAAGAAAGCTAGAATCTAATCAGTACAAGAAAGATCACAGTAACAGGAGTAACTTGGATGGTGGTATTCATGAAGCATTGAAACCTGGCATGTTACAATAGCTAGACATACATAATTTGGCATACAATAAATATTTACTGATTTAAGTATCTGAATTGAGAACAGAGACGCCAAATATGGTGACAATGTAGTCCTCATCCTGTAGAGAAAATATTATGATCTTGGCATTTAATGTCATACTTTTTAACATTTCATTACATATTTCTACATTATAGTGAATATAGCTAGTAAAGCCATTCTAAATGACAGTCTCTGGGAGAAAGATCTACATGAAAACTAAATTCCCATTTTAAAAATGTAACTTCCATATGGGGCATATATTAAAGACTTACCAAAAAGAACAATACAATGTGAGAGGTTACAGGCAGAGCAGGTTTAAAGCACCACACCCAAAGACACAGGAAGTGAGCACGCAGTTCTAATTTCATTAATTTGTATCCTTGTAAATCTTCTCTGCTGTCTTAAGAACAGTTCATGTACTGCACCTGCCTTTCACAGAAAAGTGAAGCACAAGTGGGAGCTTATTCAGCCCAGAAAGACAGAATAAGAAAGTCCAAAAGGAACCAAGACTTTAAAATGATGACAGACTCTATCTGAAAGATTCCTCTGGGGGCAATTTATCAGTTCTGTGAAGCTTCAGTGACAGCAGCTCCTACAGAAAGGTATGGGTTCTTCTTCAGCTTCATGTTTTGATATGTTGTAGAAAGATATGACTCAAGGGCATTTTATACAGCAATTAAAAGCACAGAAAATTTCAATAACAACTAGATGGACAATTTTAAAATATTTTAAACCCTGTTTTAAGGGGCTTTTAAGGCATTTATACTAGGAAAGTTATTTTGTTATTTACTATGTGCAGGATATTGGGTTAGAAAGGAAAATAAACCCTGACCACAAAAAGTTTGAAAGACCGATACACAGGAAAGAACGATAATCAGCAGCAGATTGTGTGTGCTGCATTGATTGAAGTAAAAATTCAAAGAAAAGAGATATAAGTGTTGGCTAAAAGAGCTGGGCATACAGAAGATGCTCAATAAATATTTATTGAAGAAATAATAAAGGAATGATGTATATTATGTTATTTTTGTCTTTATTGCATTCTAAGAACAGTGCTGGATACTGGTCTTCAATGTAAGTGAATGTATAGAAGAAGGACATAGACCTTGAACTAAATTTTGAAAGTTAAGCAAATTTTCCAGAAATGGTAGCCACAGTAGACTAATATGAACCAAGTATGTAACCAGGAAGAACAAATAGACAGGGCCTAAGAGGAAGGATGGTAATCTGGTCTAGATTAACAATCAGCCACTAATTCTTCTAAGGGGCCATATTTAATGAAGAATCACTTGCAACTGTCTAGCATACCTTAAATCTCTTCCCATATTGCTTTCTTCTGCATCAGCTACTAAAATTTTAAAGTCTTTTCTGGTCTTCTGCTACCATACTGTCCTGCTTTCTCCTCAAGATCAACACCCCACTCTTCTGTTTACTGATGCACTTCTTGAAGGCATAGTCCTCTTTCAGTGTTACGTGTCTTTATTTTTCAACTCTATGGACTTTGGCTTCTGAGGCACCATACCAGGGGGCATCACTGGTTGGCTCTCAGCCCTCCTCCTGGTTGATGTCTCTCGGTGGCATTCCCTACACTGCTGAATGCCTCACCCCTGAACCACTCTCTTCCCTTCCTCCTTTAGGCGAGAACACCACCTTCCTCCTGCATTTCTTCATGTCCACTCTGTGTTCTTTACCCTCTCCTTCCACCTACACCTAGATGAGTGTTCTCCCTAAGAATTTTTCATGCCCTTTGCTTACTTTGCCTTCTACTTAGGAGAACACAGTGACTCCAGTGGCCCCAACTGTCACCTGTATCAGACTTTCAGATCCTGAGTAGAATCTCTACCTTCACATGGCCTATCAGAAGCCTCAACCTCAACATATCTAATATAATAAAAACCTTCTACTCCACATTTGCTCTTTATTTATTTATTTTTGACATTTTCTATTTGGGAAATAACCCCATTTTTCTGGTCATGCAGGAGAGCAATCTGTTCCTCTCCAATACTGATGCCATAATCCCACATTCAACTGGGTGTGAACTTCAGTTGGTTCCTTTTCTTCAATTATTTATTCTTTATCCCCTTCTTCACATTGTTACCACCATCATTGCCATAATTCCTTTGTTGCTTGAACTAGTACAGTAGCCTTTTAACTTAGGGTTGCCAGAAAAAAATACATTGCATGAACAGTATTTATACAAAAATTATTCACTGTTTATTTGAAATTAAAACTTAAATAGGCTCTCCCTCCCCCAATTCTGGCAACCCTATCCTGACTGGTCTCTTGTCTTCTAATTTCTCATTGTTTCAGTCTTTCCTTCATACTCCTTCCAGAATCATCTATCTAAAACACATATGAGAATATATTACAGAACTGACAGGAATCATCTGACGGCTCCATGTTACCTAGAAAAAGAGAACCCAAACTCCACAGTGTGATATTAAAGAAAATCATGCCTCTGGCTCCAGTCTGCTTCTCCAGCCCCACTATGTATATTTCTGTTCATCTATATTGGGAAAATCACCCAGCTCCAAATGTGTCCTGTACTTTTATACTTGTGCTTTTTCTCAAAATGCTGGTTTAGGTTCTAACTTCTCTCCCTAAATTTAAATCATGTCCATCCTTCATGGCCAGGTTTAAATGCTAGCTCCATGAAGCTTTTCCCTAACCTTCCACTGCAATTACCCAGAGCTTCCTCTGCACGTTCACAGCATCTTCATTCTACTACAGCGCATTGCATTCTCCCTTATAGTCAGATGTTACTTGTGGGCAAGAACTGTCTATAGTTTTTATAATAATAAACCAAAGGTATATTGAGTCTTAACTATTTATTAGGTACTATTTTGAGGACTTTTTATGTATTAACTCACTGATCAGCAGCTCTGTGATTCAGGCACCATTTCCCCCCATTGTATTTTCCACATATTGTAGTTCAGTGCTCTATAAATTCAATAGGAATTCATTAATTTTTTAAATTGAATGGAGATACTTTTATTTGGGATAATATATCTTGGGCTCATTCAAATGAATTTTTACCTCACAGTCAATATTATTTTAATTGATTTATTAATAATCTGCTTTTTACCAGAAAGAATTAAAGATGACTTAATCTCATATAAAGATGACAATATCTTATTATAAAGGCACTGAATTGAGTTGATTTACTATGATTCATTATGAAAACAAAAATCAAGAATTCAAAACCATTATGTTAAAATAGTTAAAAGGGAAAATATTTAAATTAGGCTGTCATATTAAATGTTTATTACAATTTGGTGGGGGGGAGGCTTAAGGTTTCTCAGTAATCACTCTTAATAAACTGAGAGCCAGTTTGAATTCTAATTATTTAAAGGAAATGAGTTCTGGGTCTTTACATATACAAATCATTTCAGAGTCAAGGTGAGGATATCCTCATGGTAGGAAAATTACATTTCTTTTTTGGTTTTAAATATTATTTATTTAAGTAAATTTTAAGTGTATTTTTTGATTATGCTATTACAGTTGTCCCACTTTTTTCTCCCCCTTATTTCCCTCTGTCCTGTACCACCCTCCCACCAGCATTCCCCCCACCCTTAGTTCATGTCCATGTGTCATACATATAAGTTCATTGGCTTCCCCATTTCCTACACTATTCTTAACCTCCCCCTGTCTATTTTGTACCTACCAATTATGTTTCTTATTCCCTGTACCTTTTCCCGCATTTTCTCCTCTCCCCAACCCTGCTGATAACTCTCCCTGTGATTTCCATTTCTGTGATTCTGTTCCTGATCTAGTTGTTTGCTTAGCTTGTTTTTGTTTTTGTTTTAGGTTCAGTTGTTGATAGTTGTGAGTTTATTGTCATTTTACTGTTCATAGTTTTGATCTTCTTCTTTTTCCTAGATAAGTCCCTTTAACATTTCACATAATAAGGGCTTGATGGTACGAGATGTTAAAGGAAGATTACATTATTTTACTTTGTATAACTTCCCTGTTATCAAAGAGATCATTACTGGAAATGAGGTAGCATCGCACAGGCAATGTGTTTGAGAGCATCCTACGCTCTGAAGTTCACCATGCCACTGGGAGCAGTAGGAAGTAAGGAATGTGGGAGCAAGTAACAGCCAGTGCTGAAGCTTGCACTCAGGAGGCCTGTTTGTCCTGATGAATTGACATCTATACCAGTAAGATCAAAGGTTGACAATGTTTATTTCCTGTTTAATTTCCAGGTGCTGCCTGTGCTTTTCCAGTCACTCAACAAAAGAAGGCATGTGACAGCTACTCATAGTTCTGGAACAATATCCAGTTAAAGAATTTGTAACTGTGCTTTTGTTGACTAAAATGATAAATTTGAGAGGTCAGAAATTTCAACCCCTTAAATCCTCCTTGAATATTTTTTTTCCAAACTTCTATTTACTTGCTCTAAATAATTTGAATAAAAACCTACATGTCTTATGGACACTTGCTTTTCTTTATGTGTTTGCCAATCTATTAGAAAGTAGAGAATATTTTACTTATATATAGTACTTATGAAAGTACTATAAAGTATTATACCTACCTACTTTTTCTTCCTTAGCTTCCCATAACAAAAGAATTATGCCCCATGAAAACAAATGACTCACCTTGATGACTAGTTTTTGGAAGCTAGGACTTTGGACAGGGGAGTTACTTTGTTCCCAGTTCTTTCCCATTGTCTTTTCAGCTATGACCATAGAGGAAGTGGTGAGGAAGGGGTTATGGCATTTTGTCTTCAGGCCTAGTTGTGGCATGCCAAAACTAGCTTTCTTACAGGAAGGTTCCAGCAGGGTTCATCTGAAGCAGGTGTGAGCACCACAGGCTTTTGCTCAAACAGTAGAACTCATATTTCCTGAATTTTCATTTTATATTGTAGACAACAAACAATCTTACTTCCTCAGGAATAGGTGCTGGCCTAGAATCTTCCCTAGGTCAATGAAATTTGTTCAAAATGTACCTACCCATAACAAAGTAAAACCTCAGGTTCCCGTAACCAGTAGTGTCCATGTATGGAGTACATAATTTCCTCTCTCCATCTTTGAGGAAGACCATTGATAAACCCGATTCTATTGTTCCACATTCTGTACCAATGACAGCTCCCAAGATGTCCCATCTTAAAAAAATGAAAATCATTAAGAATTAGAATATGTCAAATATTTAAAAAGTATAATTTTTATTTTAATGAAGAACATAGTATTGAATAATTCTGAAACAAAAATGTGGTACTACAGATTTTAGATAATGAACAAACTTTTAAACACCATAATTATGTTTTTTTCATAAAAAAGATGAATTTAATCAATACATTGTATATAGTGTTTATTAATAGTATTTATTCTAAAAGTACTTATCATTGAGGTAGGAAATCAAAAAAGAAAACAGGAAACCATAAAAAACCATATCATAATGTCATAAGTACTCATGTGGTATTTTGCACATTAAAAAAGAAAACTGTAGAATGGAAAGGTATAAAAGCTGCCAAAAAAAGGGATATGGAAATTAAACTTGGTCTTGTCATATAGGAATTTGTATATGTAGAAGAGAATAAAATATTTACTATTTAAAAATATCTCATGTCTCTTCAGTATTTATTTCTGGTCATATCTAATTTGGCCATTGTTAGTCACACAACTAACTTGCCTACAGATGGAGAAAACTAGGACACACAGAGGTAAATGGCATCCCTAAGGCTAACCACCTAGTTGGCTCTAAACCTAACATCTTCTGATTCTCAGTTTGCTGTTAGTTTAGTAGTTACATTTCTAAAGAGGGATCTGTGTCAGGATGATTATGTTGAACTATTCCAGTTTATAATAGATTTGTGACCAAAACGTTTAGAAAATACCTATTATTTTAAATTTTAGTAGAGTATGTCAATCATTCAGGAGCACAATAAATAACTTTTTGAGGAAGCTCTTAATAGTATTGGAAAATTGTAAATTAACCAGGAACCTCTCTTAACTCATACTAGAAAATTTCACACTCGTTCACTGATCTTTTACTTGCTCCATTATTCCAATTAAACCACTCAGCCTACTGATCCACAAAACAAGTTAAAGTTACAAATGATGCATATGATGACCGCTTTTAGGCATCTATATATTTTAGACCACTTATAATGTTAAAAATTAAATTAAAAAGAGGGAATTGTCATGGACCAAAAGAACCTTCTGTTCAAGTGAAAAGTGGGATTAGTAGTCTTCTTCTCTTAATTATTAGTTGTAAATGAATAACTCTCCTAGTTATCAAATGAATTATTTTCATGACCTCTACTACAGAATTGTGTCAGATATAATTCAGACTGTATATTTCTTTTCAATCTTTAAAGTCCAACATATTCTAATTTTACTCTACATTGGCCTTTATTTTTCCACTATTTATTGGAAGATAACCAAATGAAGCTATTTCTTTAGAAACCCAAATATTTATAATCAAGTGAAATGAAAAGTTTAGTTCATTTTGAAGAGAAAGAAGGAGACAGAAATCTGAAAATCATCTTGTAAAAGTCTCAACACTTTGAATAAAGTATTTTGCACTTATTAAACATTCAGTAGGAGCCTGTTGTAGCACAAGCTCATTCATTTATGATTTTGTGGAAGCACAGGTTTGAGTTCAGCTGAAGGCAAAGTATCCTTGGGGGGATCCCAGATCTCCAAGGCCTTGGGGAGGGCCTTTCACTCCTGGACTTCAGAGTTCTGACTCCTAAGGTTGCAAAGTTGTGGTTAATTCCAGTTACAAAATGATATGGTCTCTGACTCTCTCCTAATATAATAATGACATGAAGTAAAACAATAACTAAACCTTTCAGGCCAGCAGTGGTACTGGAGGAGCTCTACAATGCTAGTAATGTCTAGGATGGCATGGCAATTTCCCTGAAAGGGAGTGTTAGTTCTCTATGATTTGAACTGTTTTCTCCAAGGAAATGTGGCTCTATGTGAACTGCATTTGAAGAAATGTCTGCCTAGGGGAGAGAGCTCTATACAACATACCAATTTATATTTATTCTTTGATGACTCATTCTAAAAATAAAGTCCCCAAATTATTTATTGTAAATACAGTGATATCTATTATTTATTATAGAGTGTGATGAAGTTGGAATACAGAAAAATGTTTAATAATCATTAAAATGCCTTAAGGCAACTCTTTTCCTTAGAGGTAGCAAGATTGCAATAATATTTAATTTACATTTTTAAAATACAACTTTCTATTTTTATGTCAAGAAAAAGAAATACTTTTTTGCATGTAAAAATAATTTAAAGAAATTTCTTCACTGGAAAGTTGATGGTTCCTCTACCAGCTGTCCTGGGATGGTTTCAGAATAAAATTATTTTAATTGGCTCAAACTTTATTACTTTTAAGAATGATGTTAGAGAATAGAACTTAAATGTTATTACCAAAAAAAAAAAAAAGATAAACATGTGAGGCAATGATGTGTCAGTAAATGGAGGAAATTCTTTCATAATATACATATACCAAATCACCATGATGTACACTTTAAAGAGTTTATAATTTTAAATTTCTCAATAAATTACATATCAGTTTAAATTATATTAATAAAACTAAAATTAAACAAAAAATTTCCTTCATGAGCTTAAAACAAAGTATCTTATATATTCTTTGAAGGGAAGCTTGGCAGTAACTACCAAAATACAAATTACATATATACATATATATGTATATGTACACATATACTGATTCTCCAATTTTTCTTTTAGGAATATATATTTCAGAAATACTTGAAAAACTATACAAAATTTTTATTACAGTATTCTTTGTCTATTAATAAGGGTTGATAGGTAAAAAAGGAAATTCTAGTGAGTTTCTTTTTTTGGTATGGCCATAGAAAAGTCTGAATGAAAAAGTCTGAATGTATGTGTCTGTGTGTATAGGGACTTCTGATTTTTATTTTAAACATTTGCTTTGAAATAAGCAATATTCAAATCAAATAATTTTAGAAGGCATTTAATTTATAAGTATCATAATTCAGAATGAAAACTTAAATGATCTCATTATAGGTTAATGAAAATACTAAGAATGTTAACATAGGCAATAAAGGCTTTATATTTTAATCAAATTATTTCCTACTATTATTGGCATAAATGGTTGTAAAGGTAATGGAACATTTTACATTATTTATGTAAAACTGTTTTACTATAATTTCCAGAATATATTAAACCAAGTTGGCAACTTCAGGTCTGAACTAAAATATAGAATAAAGCTTGGCTATAAGATCCCACATTTGCCAAATTCATAGGTTTTAATCTACTATGAATTCTCTGAGATTAAATAAATTCATTATATCCATAAGGTCTCTATTAGGGATGAATTCTCTGATATTTAATAAGGGATGTACCAGAGGTAAAAACCCTTCCACATTAATTTATATTCATGAGGTTTATCTCCAGTACGAGTCCTGTGATGTCTAGCAAGGTGTATACTTTGGCTAAAGGCTTCTCCACATTCATTGCATTTATAGGTTTTCCCTCTAGCATGACAGCTTAGGTGAAGGTAAAGGATGAGCTCTATCTGAAAGCTTTCCTGAATGTACTGAGTGCATTTCAAAAATTATGTTCTTCATTTGGTTCTACTGTATTTCACTTAAGTTCAATTTTATTTTAGGTTTTATTCCACACATTATGGTTTTTACACTCTCTTTGGATTAACATTAATGAAAATATTGGCTTTAGAGGGGTAAACAGCATTCAGCTTTCTTACCAATAAGACAGAAATATGACCTACACTGCAGAATGTTTAGAGAAAATAATGTATTGACTGGTAAATTACAGTTCAATCAGTGTTCGTTTCCTTTTCTCCCCCTCTGTAAAATGTAGTGCTATTTTTAAAAAATGTTATAAGTGAAAGTAGAAATTAAGATGAATTTCTAAACTATAATAACTATATATTTTTCATACTAGAATAAGCAGAAAAACAATCCTGGACAAAGTTGCAATATATAGTATGCAAAGTGTTTTTGCTTAAACATTTTTAAGCAAGGGGATACTTACTGAAAGACTGCATTTCATCTATCTGTTTCTATATTGAGATTTTGGTCACATAACCTATCTGGACCACTAAATTTATAAATTTGTTATCTGCATGGTCAAGTGGGTTTTGCTTCGATAAAATAAACATGCCTATTAAAAAAACCCACTTAATAAGATGTTAATTTAGACTGCAATCTATTTTTAATTCACTTACCCAGAATTCTAAGCTTAAATAAGACCCTGGCTGGTGTGGCTTAGTGGATTGAGTACTGGTCACTGAACCAAAGGGTTGCCAGTTCAGTTCCCAGTCAGGGCACATGTCTGGTTTGTAGGCCAGGTTCCCAGTAGGGGGAGTGCGAGAGGCAACCATACATTGATGTTTCTCTCCCTCTCTTCTTCTTCCTTTCCCCTCTGTCTAAAAATAAATAAAATCTTTTAAAAAATTAAATAAAGTCCCTCATAAGGCTTATAAGTATTTTGTAAAATGTATTCTAATCTGGGGTAATATAATTCTTCTGGGTAGGCCAGAGGAAATAATTTATAGAAAATAAGATGCTCAAACTGCCCTAAAGAGTTCTAAATTTAAAACCTATTTTTAATAAAATAACTTACATTGAAAAGGCTATAATGAAGACAGTTTCATTGTTTTTTGTCTATATGCAGTTTTAATTTTCAATGGTTATATGTAAGAGTCTTTGGTACTATCTCTCTAGAAAAAGGAATACAATATAAAATTATTTTATATTACTTTTTTCTTAATTTTATTATACTAGATAGCATTCAATTTTAAGAAAGACATTTTGAGTCAGTTATAGGTGTGTTCCACTTTGCAAGAAATGTCTTTAAAATATATAACTAATATTTACATTTTGGTCTCTTAATTAAATCATCTATCAGACACTAAGCTATGGCTAACCTGAGAAAACCACTGTCTGTGCTAAAATTTTCCCCATAATTTTAGGTGAGTTATTTTTAAATATATTTCTTGAAAGAACTTCTTTGGAGAGAATTCATACAGCAGTTATTTTAATAGGGTGTGCATGGTAGTAGAATAAGACTACAGGACTGGAAGTTGGAGGGAATTGGAAATAAGTTAGCAGTTCAGAGATTACTCTCTCTGACATGTGAA